ATAGCTGTAAACATCAACCTTGACTGTGATAGGTAAGCTTCTGAACCATTCAGGGGCCACATACCCTCTGGTTCCCCTGATAGCAGTCATGCTTCGAGTCTGGTCCAATCTCAAAAGCTTCGCTAATCCAAAGTCAGAAATTCTTGCTGTGAAATAGTCATCAAGAAGAATGTTTTGAGGCTTGATGTCACAGTGAACAATTTGGCTGCTGCACTCCTCATGCAAATACAAAAGCCCTCTTGCAATTCCCAAGGCAATTTGCCTTCTCTGGTACCAGTTTGGCATCGATTCTCCAAAGAGGAAGCTTGCTAGAGAGCCGTTGCTCATGAACTCATATACAAGAATTCGGTGCTCCCCCTCAGTACAAAATCCAAGTAGCTGGACTAAATTTCGGTGATTTGTTTTGCCGATAGCACTCACTTCAGCTTTGAATTCCAAATCGTTTTCTCTGACCTTAGCGTCTAAACGTTTGACAGCAACACACCTTCCAGTATCAGACGCTAAAACTCCTTTAAAAACTGTTGCAGAAGCACCACGTCCTAATTCTTCCTTGAATTCGTTCGTAGCCTTTTTTATCTCCTCATAAGTGAAATCCTTCAAATTCATGCCTGACATGACTGGACGAGGTTGAATGACCTTTGCTTTTCTAGAATAGACGCGAGGAACAACCAAATAGGTTATTAATGGTAAGATAACGTGCAGGACCCCCGCGCTACTCAGGAGCACTGATCCAACAAGTATCAGAGTTGAATTATCTTTCTTTTTTGGGATTGCACATCCACCTGAACTAAAAGTAGAGTTGTCTTTCCCAAATTTGATCAGAGCTTTTGCATCAAGACTAGGGTCAGACACCCCATTCGAAAAAGGGAGTCTCTTCTTGAAACAGTCTCCGGTGGGGTGAAAAATTGCAACAGCACAAAAACAATCATCTAGGCAATTCTGTCTGCACGAATTCTCAGTTAAGCCCATAAAACGCTCATAATCTCCAAGAGGAAAATTTGTGTGATGCATGTTTTCAAAATCAAAAAGATGCTCTGGTGAGGCCTGGTCACAACTTTGTGGACCAAAGTTTTGTTTACATCCTTTGCGCACATCATTTGGATCAATAACGGTGTAACCACGAGGGCACTCGCAAATTGGTCCTTCATCTCCAAGCCTACATAAGCTGTTGATTCCACATGCACCACGGCCCATTACTTCCATCATTGACAAGCAGATATTTGGAGGTATGGAAGCTCGAGTAGACCAATCCATGGGCCGATGTTCGGCAATTGAGCTAGCATTTTTAGGATAAACATAGTGCCTCAAAACTCCATCATACCCTAAAGTTGCTCTTTGGTAGAAATTTTGTATGGAAACTGTATTTGAAGATATGTAATCGAGTATGCTTCCATTACTGGATGCAAGGTAAATATGGCCAGACTTGTCGAAGATGACCTGAAATCCAATATCTGTAATTTTGGCTGACCAATAAGCAAAATTGGCAGAGTCTTGTGGGAATCTTGTAGTGTAAAGCGAGAGATTTCCATCAGATTGTAGTGTAAACAGGAATCTTCCATTTGTGTAATTTGTAGCCGTGTGGCGAGCAAAGAGTATGGTGTTTTGGTTTAGAGTCTGTGTGGGCAGGATAGTATCCGTTGGTTGATCAAAACTCTCCCACAAATTGGTTGAGTTTGTGTTGGCCAGCACAAAATTCCCCGTGTCAAGCATGGCGGCATAGGCCACTTCTGTGCGCGCAGAATTATTAGCACTCCATACCTGTTGGTCTTCTGCGTCGCTAAGCATGAGCCTGCCATCACTGGTAAGTTCAACTTTGGATCCTTCTTGCACTAGATCATTCCGATTGGCTGACCAGACTATGGTTCTATCTGGTATTTTGTTGAACCAGATGGCTAGCAGGAAGCCATCTTTTCCAATCTGTCGGAAACCAAAAGCAAACTCACCAGATGGAGATGGCCACGATGAGTTATCGTCATTTCGTGCAGTGAGGGATGAGTTTAAAGATATGTTTCTGGATGTTTGAGCTATGGTGGAATATGGGAGAATCATGAAAAGGAAGAAGCAGAGAAAATCGAGCACGGAAAAAATCATGGTAAGATGAGCGTTTTGCTACAGCCTACTAGGAGTGAGATGTATTAAGTGTACAATGAGATGCTTCTTTCCTGTCCTCCCTGGCCTAAAAGAAGCATTCTTTTTCTAACCCCCTCATTGGGTTGCAGCCAATTTTCAACATTCAAAATTGAATGTCGTCCTAGGAAATTAATAAACTATATATGTGCGCGTTGGTTAGTTGATTCAATTAAAGAACATGTGTTAGTTAACAAGTTGAAGGACTTGGAATACCAAATGTCAGTGTTTTGTTGGATGAGGATCAAGATCCAAATTGAGTTCACATTTCAGCCATCAATGTTTTTCAAATGCTTTAGGAGTACCCTTCTTCTCCAAACATTAATTCCCTTTGGGTATTGAAACAAAATAATGATTCAATCATTTGGAAGAAGAGTTTTTTAAAAATCGAATTAGCATGTGTACAATAGTCTAACATATTTATTTGGTCACGATAAGTTAGCGTCGTGACTAAATAAAGTACAGGTATTCACTCTATTGTGATTAACGAATTATCACTTTACACACGTGATGAACCGTGAGTATTGTCTATCCATGCCCACGTAGTTGAAATATATTTGGATCAACTTTGTTTTAAAATATCTCTATCTCAGAAAATTCTATTTAATCTATTTAGCATGTACATATGTACACGGCATTGATTTTCTCAATAGAAGGGGACTGTGTATATATATATATATATATATTATATTAAAAACAAAAAGAAACAAAAAAAAAAAAAATAGAAAAGATTATGGTGGTGCTCTCCACACCCTAACATATCTCTCCATCTCAACCCTAATCCCTAATTTCATTTGAGATTTGTTTTTTTTGAAACAGAAAAGCTACTCTTTTATCACTCTCTCGACGACGACCAAAAATCCACCCATCTCAATTGCCAACTCCTCTATTTCTCGACAGTGGTGACTGAGTCTTCCTACCATGTACAGATTGCTCAGCTCTTTTCTCTCTCAATAGTGACGACGGCTTGATGCAAATTGTGCGCGCCATCTTCGATCTCATCTCATCCTAGTTATGATTTGCTGTATATTCAAATCTTGGACCCCATCTCATCACCCTCTAGCAACGATCATTTTCCTTGATTTTGTCTTTTTATTTTATTTATTCTCTTTTATTTATTGTTTAAATTATATATCGATGATCTTCTCATAATTTTTGAAATTTCCATTGAATATGAATTTTTTCTCTAATTACCTCATCCAAGGTCCACTTAACAAGCTTAGATTTTTAAGTATTTCTTGTCAAAATTTGGTGAATTTTATTTGATTAGAGGGAGTGTGCTGAGCGAAGGACTACCAAGAATTACTCATGTTGGCCCCAACAATGCTTCTCAGAGTGCCTTGAGTGTGCATGAGGGGTTCCCTTTTGGGCTATTACTTAACCTGCTCGTGCTCTTGTGCAGGGTGCCTTGAGTTTATATTTATTTTTCTGTTTGTCGTTCTTTGTTGTTTTGCTGGCCTTTGGTGTCTCTGGCTGATGCTTTAATAAAGCAAGCTTGAATGACCAAAAAAAAAAAAAAAAAACTATTGGAGATATATAGTTGGAAATATGAAGAAGAAAAAAAATTTGTTTGGTCTGTTAGTGTTTGTTTTTATTCTGGGGAATGGTTAGAGATTTGTTTTAGTTGGTTTTGGAATCTCTGAATTTTGGATTGTTTGATTTTGGAGATTTTTTTTTTACAGGTTTGGTGCGTATGCTTATATATGCCCATATCTATCACATGTAATTTGGTTGTGTTTTTGTAATCTTCAAAGAGGTTTTACCTTTACCTGCAATTGAAAATGGTTTCTGCACAGGGTATTGAGCAATTTTCTTTTATCATTTCCTTTCCGTTATTATTTCGTTTCCATGTTTTTGTGATTAATTGAATAATGCCTCTTTCTTGTATTTATCTATGCAATGCTTTCAATGGTTTCATTTCTTGAAGGTAGCAATCATATATATATATATATATATATATATATATTTTTTTTTTTTGCAGCGTAGAATTCTATATGACCATCGAAACAAGTTAAAGAATGAAAATTGCATTAAAAATGCAATTTGCAATGTATTAAGCAATTTCCATATGCAATTACTAGTTTCCTGTCTGGCAATTGTGAGGAATCACCTTCTATGAGTTTAGTCACTAATAACATACGGGAAGTGCAGATGAGGGTGTGGGGCGATCAATGTGATAAATGTCCAAAATGTCTCTCAAATAATGTCAAATTTTCAAACTAGAGCCACTAATTTCATGCAAAATGGCCATGACATGCGAGTAACCACTTCGCAAATGCAATTACACTCTGTTTGGTAATTGCAAATCTGTACAAATCTCATTCCATAATTTACACAGTTTTTCCTGTTAATTACAACATCATGATTCACCCCAATCCATAAATTTGTAATCGCCAAAACTTAGAAACCAACTTGGACTGGCATAACGATGCATAAAATACAAAAACTTCAAGAAATCTGAACTTGTTCTAGGTAACCTGTAATTGCCAAACAGGGAGATACTAATTGCATAAATAAATGCAATTGCAAGCTAATAAACGCAATTATTCTATCTTCGTTTGCTAATTCCAAATTACTTATAATTTCCCACTTAACCTTCAAAGACAAAATCGTCATTTACCATTTGTTTGGGATTTAGATAACATGGGAGGAGTTAAAGGGTAGATTGGCAATATAATAAGCAATTCCCAAATCGGGAGACATTAATTGCATGTTTTTGAATTGCATTTGCATTACGGTATGCAATTACGAACTCTTGTTTGGTAATTGCATTACGGTATGCAATTACCATTGCCTGTTCGACAATTGCATTATGGTATGGAATTACCATCGTGTGTTTGGCAATTACATTATAGTATGCAATTATTGTCGCTTGCAATTGCATAGTATGTGAAACATGTTCAAATCTCTCCCAAGGCCTTGGTACTTGGCTGTATAAATGTGGTCCTTATTTTTGTAAACACAAGGGTTTACAGTATTAAGGACCCTTTTTTATAATGTTTTACTGAACTGATTATATCTTATAAGAGACAGACCTTGGATACACACTTCGTTGACTTCTTTTCTACTTCCACTCCTGCAAAGCCATCCCTTTATCAAGCCAACTAGATCCAGGTTTCTTGAGGATCTTCCTCTGCTTCATCACCTTCCTTACTTTCTCAACCTCTTCCCATTCTCCATCAGCAGCATAGATATTTGAAAGTGTCACAAAACCTCCAGGTCTCTTTAACTCCATTTTTAGAATAGCTTCAGCCATCATCTTTGCAAGATCTCTTCTTCCATGGACTTTAGACCCGTTGAAAAAGGCGCCAACAATGGATTCAGTGACCTCAACAGGCATTTCCCTGACCAATTCGTAAGCTTCTACCATCTTCCCTGACCGGCACAAGAGATCAACAACACAAGCGTAATGTTCTTTACTTGCCTCAACTCCATGACTCCCTTTCATGGACCTGAAAATCTTTAAGCCTTTTTCCACATAACCACTATGGCTGCATGCAGAAAGTACACATGTCAAAGTCACTTCATTTGCCTGCACTCCTCCCTCTTGCATTCTTTCAAAAAGCTCTATGGAGGAATCAACCATTCCATACTTGCCATATAATCCAATCAATGCGTTCCATGATGCAACGTGGTTTACAGGAACCCGGTCAAATACACTTCGAGCTTTTTCCACACTGCCACATTTTGAGTACATATCAATAAGAGCACTAGCAACAAAGACATTTATGTCAAAGCCTATCCTATAGATCAATCCATGAATTTCTCTCCCTCTTTGAATTGAACCAATCAACCCACAAGCTGGGAGCAACCCTGTGATTGTCACAAGGTTTGGTTTAGTTCCAGACAGCAACATGACACGGAACAGTTTAAATGCTTCACCAGCATGCTGGCTTTGGGAAAAACCAGCAATTATTGCATTCCAAGTAACCAAATCTGGAACCAGTCCTTCAGTCATTCTAGAGAGAAGTGCACATGCTCGCTCTGTATCTCCACACCGAGCAAACCCAGCTATCATTGCATTCCATGTGAAATAATTTGGTTCCAATCCATCCAACTTCATCCTCTCGAACAAAAGAAGGGCTTGATCAGTCTTTGCTACATTAAAATACCCGCATATCATTGATGTCCAAGAAGCAACATCTCTGTCGAGCATTCTGTCAAACACACGGTGAGCATGACATACACTTCCACATTTACAATACATATCTATCAAGGCATTTGCCAAAGAGACATCCTTCGCAAAACCAAGTTTATTTACCATAGCATGAACTTCTTTTCCCTTATTCAAATCCATCAAGCCAACACAGACTTTAAGCATGACTGGAAACGTGAACTTATTGCCAATAACTCCCAATTCTTGCATCAAATAAAAGTACCCAATTGCTTCATCATAATGCCCATTAAAGGCAGAGGCCAACACCATCCAATTTAATGCAAAAACATTTGGCTTGGGAATTTTATCAAACACAAGCTTTGCAGAACCCATATCCCCACAACTAGCATACGTCCCAACAAGCTTTGAGCTCAAAGATAACAAGTTCATGTAAACCCGACTTGTTAACAACACTGCATGAACTTGCTTTCCTTGTCTCAGAGCCTTCGCTTTCAGGCATTTTTGCAAGCACAAAGCCAAATGGTCTGGAGACAACTTGAACAACGAAAAAGGTGCCATTTTCATGACGTGAAAATGTACTCCATAAACGGCATAGATGATTCAAACCCATAACTGTTTCATGGCCTCCCTCTGTATATGAAATTTTGAATCTTGAAAATTGACAGCAGGGATGGCCTATCCAGCTCAAGGGTACGGTATAACTTATGGAAAAGCAAGTTCCTTCATTTAAATAAGGGACCGGACCTCATTTTCATTCAACTTCACCTATCAGTCGCAGCAGCACAAGTGCTTGACCTTGGCAGACATGTCTCAACAGGTACTGCTTTGTCTTCTCTTCTCTCTCATTCTCTTTGGATTTCTTTGTTTTCTTACCAAATTTACAAATTCCTATGTGGGTCTAGCTTTTTTTATCTCATTTTTCTGTCGTGTTTCTTAAAGTTACAATCTTTCTTATGTAGAATTTCCCTGACTAAATTTCCAAGTTCCTTCATTATTTTTTAGTCTTGTACAAGGAAGGCTGGCCTCTGTTTTAGCAGGCAATTAATGTGAGAGCTGGGTATGTAAAACAAATGGTAAATTGATTAATTGATTTGTGAATATGCAATAATATTTGGTGCATGCTATATATGTCACAGAAAATGGTAACAATGCATTGAATGAACATATATTGGCTAAATAAAATGATTTCTTCTGTTTTTTGAGACAATAAATTTCTGATACCCAGAAAAGTGGAATTATAATTGCAAGCACTCAAAATACTGAACTTATAAAAGAGGAAGGATCAGGTGGAACTGAGACTTCAACAGTTCCTTCAAGCATCTGTGTGACTTTCTTCATTGTGGGTCTGAGTGATGGATCCTCCTGAATGCACCAAACTGCGATCATCACATGCTTCTCCATCTTCTTGATGTCATGCTTTGCCTCATCATCATTCTCCAACAGCAGATGCAGTTTCTTTTGCTTATAGCAATCATATGCCCAATCAGCGAGTACCATTTGATCTTCATCCTCTATGTTTGCTTCGCATTTCTTCCTGCAACAAACAGTCTCTAATAACATAATTCCATAGCTGTAAACATCCACCTTCATTGTGATTGGCAAGCTTTTGAACCATTCAGGGGCCACATACCCTTTGGTTCCCCTGATTCCAGTGGTAGTTCGAGTCTGGTCCGTTCTCAAAAGCTTTGCTAATCCAAAGTCAGAAATTCTGGCTGCGAAAGAGTCATCTAGAAGAATGTTTTGAGGCTTAAAGTCACAATGTATGATTTGCATGCTACACTCCTCATGCAAATACAAGAGCCCTCTTGCAGTACCAAAGGCAATTTGCCTTCTTTGGTACCAGTTAGGCCTTGATTCTCCAAAGAGGAAGCTTGCTAGGGAACCTTTGCTCATAAACTCATACACAAGAATTCGATGCTGCCCCTCGTTGCAGAATCCTAGTAGTTGGACTAAATTTCTGTGATTTGTTCTGCCAATTGCACTCATTTCAGCTTTGAATTCCAACTCATTTTCTCCAACAATAGTGTCCAATCTTTTGACAGCAACACATTTCCTGTTCTCAAATGCTAAAACGCCTTTAAAAACTGTTGCAAAAGCACCACGGCCTAGTACTTCCTTGAATCCGTTGGTAGCTTCATTTAGCTCCTCGTAAGTGAAACATTTCACATTCATGCATGGCATGACTGAGTAAGGTTGATTCACCCCTGCATTTTTATTATAAATGCGAGACACAATCGAGTAGGTTGTTAATAGTAAAACCAAGTTCAGAAACCCCGAGCTACTGAGGAGCACTGATCCAATGAGGATCATAGTTGAGTTATCTTTCTTTTTTGCATTTGGACCTTCAGGTGTCAAAGGAGGGCTGTCTTTCCTTATTTTGATGAGAGGTTTTCCACCAATACTGGGGTTCATCCTCCTATTCGAAAGAGGAATTCTCTTCTTCAAACACTCTCCATTGTTGAAAACAGCAACAGCACAAAAACAATCACCTCCGACTCTAAAGCAAATATCTGAAGGTTCAGAGGTCAAAAGGGACCAAGCCAGGGGGGTTCCAGAACTTGAGCCATTGCTTTTAGGGTGAACAGAGTGCCTCAAAATTCCATCATACTCCAGAGTAGCTTTCTGGTAGAAATTCTTCATTGAAACTGTGTTGGATGATACCATATTAAGTATGCTTCCGTTCTTGGCAGTAAGGTAAATAGACCCAGACTGGTTGAAGATGACCTGAAAGCCAGTGCCCATAGTCATGGTTGCATAATATGCAAAGTTGGGAGATTCCAGTGGGAATCTTGTTGTGTAAAGCAAGAGATTTCCATCAGATTGTAGTATAAACTGGAATCTTCCTTGTGAGTAGCTCGTTTCTGTATAGCGAGCCAAGAGTTTGCCGTTCTGATTTAGAGTCTGTGTGGGTAGGATTGTATAATTTGGTACATCAAAACTCTCCCACAAATTGGTTGAGTTTGTGTTGGCCAGCACAAAATTCCCTGTGTCAAGCATGGCGGCATAGGCCACTTCTGTGCCAGCAGAATTAGCACTCTATACCTGTCCGGCTTCCGAGTTTCTAAGCACGAGCATTCCATCACTAGTAAGTTCAACTTTGGATCCTTCTTGCACTAGATCATTCCGGTTGGCTGACCACACTATGGTTCTATCTGGTATTTTGTTGAACTAGATGGATAGTGGAGGGAATGATTTTCCCCACGAGAATATTGGTCAATGATTCCTTCGTCTTCTCCGCTTCTCTTTCTCCCTGCAAAATAGATCGGAGTAAAAGGACCACACTCGGGGAGTGTTGGCCAAAGGCCCTCAGATGCCTAAGTTAGGTAAGGTATTTCAAGGAAAACCGGGTGGCCGGAGCCGTGTGTGGTGGCCGGAGCCTTGTGTAAGAGAGAGAAAGAAAGTGGTGGCTAGGATTTGTGAGAAATGATTTCTGCAGAGTTTCAGTAGGAATTTAGACGTACCCTCACCATTGTGTGTGGTTATGCTTTTATAATGGTCTTGGAGGCTAGGGTTTCAGAGGAATAATTCCGTAGATGGAAGGGAATTATTCCTCCCTTTTTTGGAATTGATTTGATTAGTTAGGGATTTGATTTATTAGGATAAATCAAATCCCTAATTGTGGTAGGTATGAAATCAAATCCTAATTCAATTGGGTAACTCCTCATTTAATTGGGAATTGGGGGAATTAAACAAATCAATTATTAACCCAATTAGGCAACGTTCAATTTAATTGGGTAATCCCCAATTAAATTGAGTAACTCCCAATCAGGTTAATTAATTCCCAATTAGGTCAGATAATCCCCAAATGGAATGAATTATTTGACCTAGGGTTTTGATTTAATTTGGTTACCACAAATGCCCCCCAGATTCTGCATGGTGCGTGGTGGCATGTAGGAGATGTAAATTATCTGTTGGGCTGTCCAGCTGCAACTGGGCTTCCTTTGCGGACCTGGGCTCCTGAGTAGAGGAGGTGTTTGACTTGCCAATTTTATGAACTTCCAAATTGGAAAGAGTTTGTGATTCCTTGTAGGTCAAGGAATTTTGATCCTTATAAATGTAAGGCTCCTCCAATTTATCCTTCACATCAAAATCCATCCCTTCGTCTTTATTAGTGCGAGAGAGAAAACCTTGGAGAGTTTTCCCATCCTGCTTGAGTCTTTGTCCTTGCTGCACATCCAAGGTAATTAGCTTGGAAGAAATTTTTTTCTTGTGTCTTTGACTTTTGGCAGCTTGGTCTGTGCCTTCTAGTTGATGAGGGGAGCTGCAAGAAGTGCGTGATTATGGCTTGAAGCATGGCTGGAGACGTTAGGAGGCTGGCAGGCTTGAGGCTGCATGCCTTGGGCTCGAGCATGAAGGTCTGGAGGCTGGTGGGCTCGAGCAGGCGTGCGCTGGGCTTCGAATTGGAGGTCCGGAGGTTCCAGGCCCTGCCTGCATTGGTTCTGAGCGGAATTACGCCAGTGTGAGACGTGGGCTTGCACTTGGCAAGCTGGCCACTTGCGCTGGTGCTGGAGCGAGCGGGCCAGGCTGAAGGATGCACGATGGGCCTTACGCGAGACGTGGGCCGCACAGGCTGGAGGTGGGCCTCCATGCTGGTGCTGGAGCTGGGCTGCGCGCTGGCTGGTGTTGGTGCGACTTGGGCCCTGCGCTGGAGCACCTGCTGGGCTGCCCTTCTTTGGGCTGATCCAAGCATTATTTTTTATGCTGCTGCTACTGTTCTTTTTTTTTTCTTTTTTTTTTTTCGACTTGCAAATATTTCCGGTATTCTAACTTGTAGAATTCTTTTTTTTTTTTTTTTTTGGCAGCACTCGTTTTACCCACC